ATATGTGCTACTCTACTAATATGTATATAATAAAGCATATGGAAAAATAGATATTTGAAAAGGAGATGACTAAATAATTATTACTATTTTAGTAGTACCTCATTGAGGTTGAAATAAATCTCACATGAGGTGAACAGAGTGTCAGCCCTGCCATTTTCTTACTATTAGCCTGGGCTTGCATATATTTGTATTACTTCAATCAGCAGTATCTTTGCAGAAATCTTTCAAAGCAACATTTCCATTTTGTGTGGGTTACTTTAAAAACTATATGACATAGTCTATAATTCCACTTAACTGGCCACCAGTGAACTGTAAAACTTCACAGTGCTCTTGAAAATAAGGCAAGGGTGTCACACCCATTCCTCCCTCAAGACAATCTGGCTAGCATATGTGATAATCTGACATATGAAATGAGCAAAAATGCCATTACCAATCTGTATTTAACATAGTACTGAAGCTTAGTTTCTTTTTTTCCAACAATAACATCATGAAAAATAAGTTTGAACATTTTCTTCCTGCATACCGGTAGGCAGTTTGAGTATTATCATTTTGGAGGCCACTGGCATAAAGGATATATTAAAGTGGGAGAAGTAATTGGAGGAAAAAATACAAAGAATAATCCAAATGTGTGGTGATTTGAGGAATGGAGGGGAAGATATATCTTCCTGGATAGAGAAAGCATAAATAAATAGCTATTTGAAAAAGCAAATGTAGCAAAATGGTAATTGTAATATCCCAGTGGTGAGCATGTTAATTATAAAGTTCTTTAAATATTCCTATATGTTGGAAATTTTACCTAACAATGTATTGGCAAGAAGAGAAAAAGGAAAAAGCAACAGGACTTTAAAACTATATAGGATATAGAGTAAGGAGAGAGGAAAAAGCAAACATGATTGCAAGGATTTTGACCTAGATGGTTATGAGGATGGTACTTATATGACAGAAAGTGGGACAGGGGTGGTGTTAGAAGAAAGAGGTCAAATTTAGTCTTGAATATGTTTATTTGAAGTGTTAGTAGGAAAATCAAAAACAAACGCTTAAAAGCGATAGGAAATACAGAAATAAAATTAGAAGACAGTACTAGAGATTTAGACAATGGGGCCAGCTATTGTAAAATGATAAAGTTGTAAGAATAAATACCTTACACAAAAGAAAACAGGACAAAGCAGAGAACTGAACTGAAACAATTAAGGGGCAGCAAAAGGAATAGAAACCAAAGAAACATGTCCTAGAAGACTATTATCACACTCATAATCAAAAAAGTCAAATTCTACAGAATTATATATTCTAGTTTGCCTTTACAAAGGCTGATTTCACCATAAAAAGGAACTGTTCAAAGCCTTATAGATGAGAGAGATAGTGTAAAAATTATTTCTGAGGTATAACTGACAAACAATAAAATGCACAACTCTTAAGCACTCTTTCAATTATTCAAAAAATCAATATAAGTGCTCATTCAATCATAAAAAGCAGGTGTTGGCAATTGCATATAGCTGCCACCCCAAACAAGATGGAGAATATATACCCAGCATTCCACAGAATTATTTTAGTTCACCCACTTCCCTTCTCCTCTATCATTTTCTGATTTCTATCACCATAGATGAGTTTTGCCTATTCTCCAGCTCTAAATTATAGATAATTGAGAACCTATTCTTTTGTGTCTGGCTTCTCTGTTCAGCATGTTTATGAACCTTACCATCATTGTGGAGTGTTATCAAGTTTCCTCTTTTTATTGACGAGTAGTGTTTCACTGCATGAATATACTGCAAATTTTATTATTTCCTATATGAATATTAATATTTGTATGATTCTAGGTTGAGCTATTAAGAAAAAGCTGCCATGATCATTCTGCAAAGTCTTTTGGAAACATTTTTCATTTCTCTTGAGACAGTACCTCATAGAAAACTGCCAAAAGTTCTCAAAAATGTTCAGATAATTTTACATCCACTAACAAAAAAAAGAAAGTTCCAATTGCTCTAAATTTCATCAATCTTTACTATGTTAATAATATTGACTGAAGTACTTTTAGTGATGATGGATGGCATCTTTAGCTCTCCTAGTGGCTGTGGATGGTATTTCACTGTAGTGATGACTACTGAGCGCACCTTTTAATGTTCTATTGACTATTCTTTTACCTTTAGTAATGCGTAAGCCTTGGCTATTTTAAAAATAAACTATATTGAGTATAATTTACATAATATAAAACTGATCTGTTGTAGATATATAATTCAACCATTTTTAGTAACTGGAGTTGTACAACTGTCACCAAAATCCATTTTAGAGTGTTTCCATTACCCTAATAAGATAACTATTGTGTTTACATTAATCTCTCCCTTATCCTCAGCCTAGGAACCACTATTTTCGTTCCATAGATTTGCTTATTCTGACATTTTTATAAACAGAATTTACAATATCTGGTGTTTTGTGTAGCTTCTTTCATTTAGCATGCTTTCAGGTTCACACATGTTAGTATATATAGCATATTGGTTCTTTTCATTGTTGAATATATCCACTGTAGGGTTATACACATTTTATTTGATATATTTATCTTAAGAGGTGGGGTCACTCAGGCTAGAGCATAGTGGTGTGAACATAGCTCACTGCAACCTTGAACTGCTGGGCTCAAGCAATCCTCTGCCTCAGCCTCCCTACTAGGTAAGACTAAAGACATGCCACCACACCTGCTAATTAAAAAAATTTTTTCAGTACGTTGCCCGAGCTGGTCTCAAACTCCTGACTCAGGTGATCCTCCCACCTCAGCCTCCCAAAGTGCGGATTACAGGTGTGAGCCACTGTGTCCCATTTACATTTTATTTATCCATTCACTGGTTAATGGACATTTAGATTCCCACTTTGTGGCTATATTATGGATAGTGCTGCTCTGAATATTGTATGTAAGTATTATGTGGAATTTATTTTCATTCCTCTTGGTAGATACCTAAGAGTGAAATGACTAGTCATATAGAAAATTTATATTTAACCTTTTAGGAAACTGCCAAACTGTTTTCCAAATGGCTGTACCATTACAATGCCAGAAATATACAATGGTTATTGTTCTCCCCATCCCATTAGTTATTGTCTGTTTTTCTCATTATAGTCATTCTAGTGGTGTAAAGCATATCTCATCATAGTTTTATTGCCAACTATCCTTACAACTAATTATTTTTAGTACCTTCTCAGTGTTTATTAGCCACATGGTGAAATGTCTATTTAAATATTTGCCAATTTAAATGTGGTTGTCTTACTGAGTTGTAAACCATTTTTTATAGATTCTGAAAATAATTCCTTTGTCAAATATATATTGTAAAATCTGTGACTATTTCTATTCATTTTCTTAATGGAGCCTTTTGATCAATAGAAATTTAAAATTTTTATTAAGTACAATGTATCAATTTTTCTTCCATGGCTCACACTTCATATGGTATGATTATACTGGCCTGTATAAGAAATCTTTGCCAATCCCAAAGTCATGATGATACTATCCTATTTTTCTTCTAAAAGCTTTATGGTTCCAGCTTTTATGCTTAGGTCTTTGATCCATCTGAAATTAATTGTTTTGTATGGAGTGAGATATAGTCGAAGTTCATTTTTCCACATGAATATCTAGTATTCAGCATGATTTGTTAAAGATACTTTCCTTTCCTCACTGAATTGACTTGGCACCTTTGTTGAAAATCAAGTGACCATGTATGTATGCATCTATTTCCAGATTCTCTGTTCTGTTCCATGATTTGTTCATCCTTAGGACAATACCAAGCTGTCTTGATTACTGTAGCTATATAGTTTGCAAATCTGGTAGCCTACATTCTTCAACTTTGTCTTTTTATAAGATTGTCTGGCTCACAGAACCTTTATATTTCCACATATATCTTAGAATTGGCTTGTCAATGTCTTCAAAACAGCCCATTAAGATTTTGATTGAGATTGTACTGAATCTAGACATCAATTTAGGGGAAATGAACATCATCAACAATATTATATCATCTAACCTATAAACATAGTATATCTTATCAATTATTTTAGGTCTTCATTAATTGATTTCAATGATGTTTTGTACTTTTCAGTGTTGAGAATCTACATATCTTTCAATAGATTTGTTCCAAAGTATACAATTTTTTTGATGACGTTGTAAATAGAATTCTAAACAATTCCATTTTCTAACTGTTTGTTCCTGGAAAAACTCTTAATATTATATAAGCATGCAGGACAAAATATGTGAAAATTCTGTTTAGTTTTTTTATAGATTCAAATACAATATAAAGAAGATTATCATGAACTTCATTCTAAGCCACTCTTTTTTTTAACCAATTAATACTTTGATTAGTCATACAAAAAAAAATACAAATTTTATTCATCAGCACCCTGTGTTTAAGAAGAAGACATAGCAAACAATTTTAAATGGAATAAACTCTATACATATTAACAAAATTATACTATTAAGTAGACTCTAAAATAGATAAGCATTATTATCTGATGATTCTTAGAGAAATAATTTTTCCTTTTAAGAAGTAAAAACTTCTTCTGTGTGAGTGGGTATACTAAAGACTTTGAGTTTCGAGTGCTGCTCTAAATGGCTAAAGGAATAGCCATAGATACTAACATATCTATCATAGTATATATTAATACTAAGTGAAATATATTTTTGAAAGTTTGACAGAAATGATAAAGCTACTTTGTAGTTGAGAATGTGCCTAATTTATTGGATATTTATTTAGAATTTTAAAAGTTTGTCTTTGTCAAAAAAAGGGCAAATTTATTTTTATTGATTTTTTTGAAAAAGAATTATGTAATCCTCAAAAAGAGAGAAATGAAATCTCTCATGAAATCAGATATAATGACATAATTACCATAGTCAGTTGATTGTGATACCCACCCACTGCTTATGTGCTTCTGTACATTATGATTTGTTTAGGGTTTTGGAAAACCCACTATATCTAAGCAAGAAGAGCAAGAAAGGATTAAGAGAATAACTACGGTGTAAAAGGTGTCTGAGTCACTACCTCCATCTTCACAGTCTTCAGGAGCTTTGGCTTTCTTACAAAGACGAGGATCCAACCAGGTGGTTGTCTTGGTATTGTGGCTGTAGAAAAAAGATTTCAATTAGAAACGATAAAATAAAGAGGGAGAAAAGTATTTCAACAGTAAGGATTAAAAGCAACTAAAAGGTATATGAAGTTTGAACATTAATCTCCTACAGGTTCCATTTATACACCTCAGATTTGTTAATCCCATTGCCTTCTGTCTGTTACTTTAAAACTGCCATAAAGAAAAGGTAATGCTAGAGGCACTAATTTGAGAGTAAAGGCCTTAAAGAAGGCCTAACATGCCAAGTACAGAGTAACAGATACTTCTTTAAGCAGTTGAAAATGTTTCAAAAGCTGGGCACATAGCCACATAGTATGCATTATCTAGCTGAAAAATTGCATTAAAAACTTTGCTTGCTGGCTGGCTGTATTCCTCCCTTCCTTTAAAAATACTGTATTTCTTTCTTTCTTTCTTTTTTGAGACAGAGTCTCACTGTGTTGACCAGGCTAGAGTGTTGTGCGTCAGCCTAGCTCACAGCAACCTCACACTCCTGGGCTCAAGCAATCCTTCTGCCTCAGCCTCCCAAGTAGCTGGGACTACAGGTACGTGCCACCATGCCCGGCAAATTTTTTCTATATATTTGTAGTTGGTCAATTAATTTCTTTCTATTTTTGAGTAAAGACAGGATCTCACTCTTGCTCAGGCTGGTTTCGAACTCCTGACCTCGAGCAATCCACCCACCTCGGCCTCTCAGAATGCTAGGATTACAGATGTGAGCCGCCACACCTGGCCACAAACACTGCAATTCTTGAGTGCCAATAACATATAGGTATTGTACTGGGGGTTGGAATATAAAGGCAAATAAACAATCAAATAGAGCCCCTGTACTCACAGGGACTCTTTAAAGTAAAATAGAATAAAATAAAACAATGTTTTAAAGTGGCTGTTTCTGCAAAATGCAAGTAAAAACAATGAGCACAGTTAAACTTAACTCTACAAAACTAAGTTTTCATCAGCTTGGAGTGTCCTGTATACTACATAACGGGTAATCTACATAGGAAAATTCTGTCACAGAGATAAATGTCCCCAAACTAAAACCAGTTAAATGAATTTTAACAAAATGAAAGGGATCAGGACTCAAAGAGGCCAATAATCTATATATATTATTGGGCAAAACAAAAACAAACATGGAAATATCTTGCTAAACTAAACTCAAAATTACTACTTGAGAAAAGCTTAACTTTGGTTCCAATAATTCAAAATTTTACTGCTAAATTAGCAGATGTAGGCAATTCACTAGGATTTTACCCCATATTTGCCAAAGAAAAGAAATGCCCACAGGGGCTGTTTTCAAAACATAATAACTAAAGACTAAAGACATTAATACTCTTACAGTTGCATGCAGTAACACGGATCAACCATATTAGCTATAGCAAACAAAACAGCTTTATCTAGCAGCAAATATTCAGCTATATTCTAGATATTACCCTTTTATCAGATATATGGTTTGTGAATATCTTCTAGCATTCTGTAGGTTGCTGTGCAGAAATTTTAAAGTTTGATGTAGTCCTATTTATATTATTTTGCTTTTGTTGCCTGTGCTTTTGGTGTCAAAGAAGTCTTTGCCAAATCCAATGTCATGAAGATTTTCCCATATGTTTTCTTCTACGAGTTGTATAGTTTCAGGTCTTATGTTTAGGTCTTTAATCCATTTAATAATATTTAGCTCTAAAGAGATTTCTTTTATAAATTCCTCCCTCCCTCTGCCTCCAAACTTATCTGTGTTTGCACGGTGAAGCACTGTTAGAGTCAATGTCTTATGATCTGTCTCTAAAGATATCTTAGCCACTCTAGTCACTGTACACCTTACTTCAGGGTTTAGTTCTAGAGTCAGAATGAAAGCCAAAGTCTAAATCACCCTTGAAAAATCCCTTAAGTTTTCCATAGAGGAGAGCATAGCTGGTTATGCCTGTTTTGTATGATCCTGGTCATTAATGTTTATATGAATGTAAAACATAATCAATAATATACCATATATGGTAAAAAGAATACCATGCACCATGCACACAAATATCTATGTCTTTGAAACACTACAATCCTACGTGGTATAGCAAAAATCTCACTCTATGGGAAGGACAGAATTTGGACAATTTGAGGAAACAGATACAAGTACTCCATCCCTAATTCATTTCTGAATGTATGTTATTTGAGTATAGTGCACAGCCCTCAATATATTTTTTTTGAGACAGAGTCTCACGCTGTTGCCTGAGCTAGAGTACCATGGCAACAGCCTAGCTCACAGCAACCTCAAACTCCTGGGCTCAAGCAATCCTCCTGCCTCAGCCTTCCAAGCAGCTGAGACTACAGGCATGTACCACCATGCCCGGCTAATTTTTTCTATATATTTTTAGTTGTCCAATTAATTTCTTTCTATTTTTAGTAGAGACGAGGTCTTGCTGTTGCTCAGGCTGGTTTCGAACTCCTGACCTTGAGCTATCTGCCCACCTGGCCCTCCCAGAGTGCTAGGATTACAGGCGTGAGCCATCACGCCTGGCCCCAGCCCTCAATATTTTAACTGTTGTTATATTTTGTAACTTCACCACATTAATAGTATATCTTTGAGCAAATTACTTCAAAGATGATAATTACAGCTGTGTGAGAATACAAAAATTCCTCATAATGGAACTTCCAATAAATTATTTGCATAATGTTATCTTCTGGTGCAAACACCACACAATTTTAGGTCGATCTAATACATGGTATTCAATATCTCTATAAATATTATATTTATAGTGCTTATCCATAAAAATCATTTTTGTATGTGAACTTGTACCAATTTCTCTAAGGATCAGAGATATTTTTTACAGATTATTTAACTGTATTGGCTGAATACATCAAACCTAAACTGTAAGGGTGAAAACATTTAGCTCAGATAATAATATACCCCCTACCTATGAGATAATTCTTGAAATGCTCATTAATTTGGGCAATCTACACAAAAGTTAAAAAAAAGAAAAAGAAAAGCAACACACCTTTTATTCATTATATTTTTTATCGTTAGTGATGAATCTGTTTTTATAAAACCAGAGGTCAAATGTACTATTTCTTTATCCAAGTCAAATAAAAATGAAATATCATCCAGGGAAATACTCAGATTAAGAATCAACTGTCACTTTTATGAAAAATATTTTTAAAGAAAGAAAAATAAATGAGAGTCTTGTGAAACAGGCACATGTCCAAATCAGGTTTAAAAAAAATTTAGCCAATATTCACAGTGACAGGGCACATTAGAAAAGACACAGACATTTGCTTACTCAATGAAGTAGATCATCCCCGTATCAGTGTAGGCCATCTCCCAGTTTTTGGGCAGTGGCTCCAGGGTTTCATCTCTCATCATATAATTTCTGAAGTCCATGGAGCTATTTGTTTGGTTGTAACTTGGAATAGTCTTCATCCAGTCAGATGACTCAGAATGCCTCTCTCTGTTTTCTGCCATTGTTCAAAACAGAAAAGCGTGAAAAGTAGATAAAGTTACACTCTTCTTTGAACAGCCCTCTTCATGTCTAACAAAATACCAAATACATAAATATTGCAAATTTTCTTATCTATTATGTCCACATTCTCTTCTAAATTTTGAAATAACAAATATACATACTCAATTTTTACTTACTAATTGACATTAACCCTGGATAGCACCTTTGATGCTAGTCTGGGAAAGAAGCAAAAAACAGCACTAGAACTGAATTGTACTGAATTTATACTGAATTGTCAGTATAAATCCTAACAGCAGCAGCCTCCAAAGCAGCACTTAGAGAGTTTTTTATGTGTCAAGCTCTATTTTAAGTGCTTTACGTATAGCAACCCTGTGAGTATCTACTATTACTATTTCCATTATATAGACTGAGAAAACTAAGACACAGAAAGGTTAACTTAGTCAAGGTTATACAGCCAGTAGACAGTAAAGTTAGGATTTGGATCTAAGTGGTCCATGCTCTTAAGTGCTATGCTAAGTTGCCTTGTATACATTTAACACAAGCTTTTAAATAATACTCATTTTTAAAAGTTACACTCAATAGAGTTCCTGTTGTTAAATATAATCCTCTGTTTGGTAATATTAAAATCCTTTTAGAGTCCCAAAGTCCACGATGGAGGTAAGAATAGTAAAATCTGGTTACTGTCTAGGGAGTTCATGATTCATGCACTTAAAACTCATTTCTAGCACATAAAACTTATTTCTAGAACTTAAAAGATGCTATATAACAACTCCATACTGCAGGCAATGCCTCAGAATCAGAGAATCTGACAAGAGACCTTAGATATCATTCCCCATAGTACTTGAACTCCAACTATCCTTTATCCATCCAAGTCCTATAATTCATTAATCTTACTACTTATTGCCTTTCACTATTCCTCACCCTCCACTCAGGTCCCCACTGCCCTGCTAACCCAATTTACATTCTGCGATCTACCACTATAATCACTCATTCCCTTGTAAACACTCCTGATTCTTTTGCCTCAACCTAACTTCATCATACTTGCCTGGCTAAAAACCATAACTCTGCCTAAATCCCACTCTCCACCTACTCTACGTCAGCACATGCTAATACAGGCAATGCTAATAACTAGTTCACTTTAAATTCATGGTCACTGACCTCAAGTGGGCATTTAATGATGCATGACAATCATAACACAGTTCTTTAGTCCATTCACTGACACTCTCCTAGATAACTATTTCATACCTTTCTTCTCCTTAAATCACCTACTACTTTCCCCTTATTCCGAATCTCATTTGATGACCTTGTTTCCTATTTCACTAAGGAAACAGAAGCAAGCAGAGGAGAACTTCCACAAACTCCCACCATTGCATCTACACAGCAACTGTGCCCATTTACTCTACCATCTGTTACTAAGGAAGAACTGTCTGTACTCAGCTAATGTTAACCCACCAATTATGAATTATATCCCATCCTCTCTTGCCTACAGCAATTCTTTCACTCTCCATCCTGCATCACCAATCTTCCTTATATATTGGATCATATCCATCCACAAAAAACATGTTATTTCTCTATTCTTTAAAAAGAAAATTATTCTCTTTGCCCTCTGGCAACCACACTGTTTCTCTCTTTACACTAAACCACCTTGAAAGAGTTTGTACTTGCTGCCCTCTTTCCACTCTTCCAATTCTCTTTGGATCTCACTCCAACAGGCTTTTGAACTCCTATCATTACTCCTATCATAACTCCTATCCTGTTATCAAGGTCACCAATATCCTCCACATTGCTAAATCCAATGATCAATTCTCAGTTCCCATCTTATCTGAGCTATCAGCAGCTCGAATAGTTGACCACTTTCTTACTTGCACACTCAATAACCTCCTATCCCTGTTTATGCTCATGCACTCCTACTGCCTATTCTCAATACAGTAGCCAGAATGGGCCTGTTAAAACCTGTTATATCATGTTACTCTTTGACTCAAAACCTATAGTGAAAATGAATTGAATGAATTGAAATGAGAGATCTAAAATTGCAAACTTTGCCACTACTTCTTATCCATCTTCTCCTCTGTTTTATTTTTCTCTTTAGCACCATTCTACACACTATATATGTTATTCATTTATGTTGGCTAGTTCTGTCTCCCAACAGAAGGTAAAGTTTCCAAGGATTAGGAGTTTTTGCTTGTTTTGTTCGCTGCTTTATTCCCAGTATTTAGAACAATGGCTAGCACTTAGTAGCCTAGCAGGTGCTCAATAAATATTTGTTAAAATAATTAATTATATGTAGAAAAAGTGATAGAAATTAAAAGGTACCCAATGTATAAATCAATCTGGAAGGGAGTTACATTCTTGGGAAATAAGTATGTTGGAGAAAAGCAAGAGCAACTATATGATCTATAACACTTTTCTACCTACCATGTTCCCATTCCCACTCTCCAACAATTTTCTGATTTTTCAAGGCTCTAGTTTTAGGGACTTTTAGGGACTCTAGTCCCTAAAAGCAATACACAAAGCACATTTCCCCAACTTTGAATGATAAATTAATAACCACAGTTCATATTTATTCAGAAAAGATAAAGGTTTTAGTCTGCCGTTTTGTTATTTTTTCATTTAAATATTCTGAATATTTACAAAGAAATATATAATTTAACATTAGTGTCCTATGGTACACAAGAGGTAGTATACAAACTGCCTCCCACATACTCTTGGACACATTCCCTTTAAATATTACCATCAAAGAGTATGTAACATCTGATTTAACAAGTGGTTTATATGACAAGCATAAACTATGGAGATTATAAAAGGTTTACCTCTTAAGGAACTGCAGTGATCAACAAAAGGTTCTGCATTATGAAGTAAAAAAGAACATTTTTTTCCCCTTCAAATCAAGACCATATAAATTCCCATATTGGGACAGATTCATGGTCTCTAACCCTAGTGTTCAGCATTTTAAAATGTTAGCAAACTTAATTTTGTGGAATAGCAAAGCTGACATCAACATTAAAAGGTTGCACAGGTATGATGATTTCCCTTAATAACCCTAAAGATTAGAGAGGTAAATTCACCTAAATCTTTTTAAACCTATTTTCAGTCTTTATACCTAAATACATAGGAGTAATTCGTTTAACATTCAACATACACAATATGGGATATAACTATGTAAGAAGTCAGGACTATAAAAGAGAACTAATGCTTTGGAGGGAGAGATAAATAATGAATGTATTAACACAATAAATATAATATATATAGCAGTTTATATATATAATATACATATTATATATAATATGTATATTATATATAAAATATATATTATATATAATATATGTAGCAGATAATGACTGATTAAGGAAAAGATCAAGGTGGTTTGAGAAAATGATATGAACATGGATGCTGCAAATTTGGGACCTTTAGCTCTTACTCTGTGCCAGGCACTGCTTTTGGTGCAAGGGATACAACAATGAAACAAAACAAGCAAAATTCCAGCCCTTATGAAGCTTACATTCTAGTGTTTTGAATGGAATTAGTACAGTAAATACCACTGAAATAAGTTCAGTTGTGACTCTATGACTTCCTAGTTATACTCTCAGTTACAACTAAGAACCTCCTAAGCAATCACCACGTTATTTAGGAGTACTCAAAAGGAGCAGATTCTTCGCCACTAAATTTCTGTTGGTTTTGCATTTAATGAAAAATACGGGAGTCATATTTGGAAATTTTCTTTCAGTGAATCCAACATTTAAATCAAAATATTGCAAACAAACCTTTCAGATAATTTTTACTGGCATATTTTCAAACCCTACATACTTTGTTTAGACTGAAGTCTATATTCCAAAACATCTATATTTTGTTTATATTCTGTAAAAAGTAGGATTTAGGTCAACAAGATTCCCATATTTCAACATCAGAGGTGAATCTCAAATATTTTAGGTAGTAGGATAATATAGTATAGGATATATAGTATATATTTTATTACTAATGATAGCTTATTCTTAATTTATCAAAATTGGACAAATCACTCTAGCTTACAGTATGGTGTACAGAGATATACTTTGCTCCACATACAACCTTTTCAAAAAATTAAAAACCCGTCACTTGTTTTCCACATGCTTTGTAAAAAGTTTTACTACCTCTAATTCAATGTCATAGTAAAGTCAACCTAGAAGATCAGTTAGAAGTTCATGTATTTACAAACCTGTATTTCCACTGCCATTAATAGCTTCCTTGTCCTCATCTTCTTCCTCTTCAGGAAGAGAGCTGTCCATTCTTTCCATCTTGCTGACAGATGTAGTTCGTTTTCTTTGGGATTCTGTGTCAAAGTCATTATCAAAGAGGACCTGATCAACAGGATCTGGCTGAAAAGGGCTGGGTTCTGCTGGAGGCTTGGGAGTTCCATAGAAGTTTCCTGAAGTGAACAAAATAGCAGCTGAAAGTACTAATAATGTTGAATTGAGAGAGCAATATGACCTAGTGTATGTTTCTCTCCTGTTTCTTACAATGAAGTTTTTGAATATTTATCACTGGCCAGAGGAAGGCCAAAGCACTCCTTGGGAAGAGAAGTGGGTGGAAATAGGGGAAAGAATTAACTTCTGTGCCCTTCACCATTTATTATCTAACATTTTAATTCTATTTGTATTAAGGCCAGGAAGTTGACTTTCTATATGTATATTATTTATATCTACAGGGCTTGCTTTACATGGGATCTGAATTAGGGCCTAATTTGTGAATTTAAATGCACTGATGCTCTCATGTAAGAATAATTGACATAAAAGGTGAGAGTAAAGGAGGATAAAACTAATTCAAATAATTTTATTCTAACGCACAACATAATGACAGGAATATAGGCTGTTTATGTAAAGGTAATTTTACAAAGTTTTTCTGAGCATTCTAATTATATCAGTTTATCTGACAATTTATAGAATAAATAGAGACATCAGAACATAATTCAATATTGGTTTATTCTCAGGAAAGCAACAAATATTTTAATTTCCTCTTGAGAATCAGTAATTTTTACAGTAAAAATAAATGTTCCAGAATAGAATGAAAACAATTGAGTATTTTCTCAATTTGTCATGCAGTTCCCATTAGGCAGCCAAATATAATGGGAAAGCAATCAACAGGTTTAGCTATATTAACAGTTTGTGGTTCTACCAGTTTTGACCTTATATCAATCATTATGCTAATGTTATAGAAAGAGAAATATGATTAGAGAGTAAATACTCATAATCTTTTTTTTTTTTTTAAATGAAATCACATCTTCTAATCAAATTCTTTTTCTCCTAAGGAGATGCTCATTCATATATGGCAAATTGCTGAGGTATATAATAGATTTATTTTCATAGATGGAAAAAAGCATAGGATATTTCCCCTAACACCAAGTCAAATCTAGAAATACCATAGTTTACCTTAAATTGTACATGCTTTGAAGGGAAAAGCATTAAGATGAATTCTTAATGCTTTTCATCTTTTTAGAGCTGTTTTGGAGTTTTTCTTTGTTTTCTGAAGGCTTTTTCATTTTTGCAGAACTATCAACTATTAAATACTTCAAATACATATAAAATTATAGACCATGGTATCAGAATTAAGATGAATTCTTTGACTCTGAGCATAACTGTCATTAAAATATTTGAGACAAAACAATGAAATCAAACTAAATAATATTTCAACTATATCCTGTCTCTCCCCATTCAATTACTCCCTTGCTTCCAGATCCATGTTTGAAATGGTGTTACTCCTACCATGCAGATGGATGCAAAGAGTCATATTAAAATAGACTCCACTTTCTGCAAACTTTCTGGCCCATACGTAAAGCATTAAAGCAAAGACGAATGAAAAAGCTAGTTCACATTTCTCTGGGGCCAAGGGGCACAGAAATACTATAAACAGAGGTTTAGTTGGGGAATAGGATATTCTAGGATCTCATTTTTTCCTGAATTATGCCTAATAATCAGACTATGAAGGAAACTGGATGTATGATGATACAAATAAAAAGGCCACATTTTCTAAGGATGGTAGTAATATTTACTAGAAACACTAGAAACACATTTTACTATGAATTCCTATAATTATTATCTAATTCTAGAAAGTTTAAGTTTTTTCTAAGGAGAAAATTTAAAAACACAGGGTATGATGGCTGCTATCCATAATCATTGAAAAGATTTTAGGACTTCATTACTGTGACAGATTCCTTATTAAAAAAAAATAATTACTGGGCTTGGATTTTTTTTAAAAAAGCTATCATTGTTTATAAGTAATTTAGATCTATTTTTTTTGAGTTGGTGAATATCAAGATTTCACATATAGCAAGATATAAAATTCCCAGGTTTGTGAACCCTTACAAAGTCATTGACAGAAAATTTTTTTCATCTTTTTAGAGCTGCTTTGGAGTTTTTCTTTGTTTTCTGAAGGCTTTTTCATTTTTGCAGAACTATCAACTATTAAATATTTCAAATATATATAAAATTATAGACCATGGTATCAGAATAGTATTAGAAATATACATTATTTATATAAATTGACTTATATGAATATATTTACATTTGTTTATTTACATATACATCCTCCAGATAACTACTGCCAGCTTTCAGATCTCCCAATTTTTCCTTTAAGGACATGCATATATGGTCACATATACAATTAAAGGCCAAACTTCCTGTCTGTAGCCTTCCCACTCCCTGAACCGTACTGAAGTTGGTGTCATTCTCCCAAATATTATATACATTTAGGACATATATATATGCATTCATAACATACGAATACTACTGTTTTCATCAAAGCTTCACAGAATATTTTCATAACAGTTCACATATTTTTTCATAAATAGTATATATTTATGAAATATATATTCTTTTGTACCTTTTTATACAATTATACTTCTAAGACTTATTCTATTTCTTTCACCTGCTGTAAATAGTCCATTTTTATGAACAAATTAATATATATTTTATTTATTCTTAAAACTAAAAAGAAATTGTTTTCATTCTGTCTCTGTTTCAAATGGTGCTAAAATGAATATTCTGTGACATGTCTACATATGTCCTTGGACAACTGTTTTTCTAGAATAGACATCTAGAGGGGGTACTCTTGAGGTCAGAATTATGTACATCTTTGAATTTACTAGCTATTGTCAAGATGTTCTCCAAAAAGATTGTATGTACCATTTTATACTCTTACCAGCAGTGTATGGGAGTTTTCATTTCTCGCAATTTTCAGACTTTAAAATTTTTGCCAAATTGCTGGATGTGAAATGATGTACAATTATTGTTTTAATTTGTATTTCCTTTGAATTGAATATCAGTAATTAACATGTAATATACCACTTTGTCATATACCAAGTTCTTAAACTTAATGCAAGAATATGTAGAATATTTTCATCATTTAAGGGCAGAGAACTTCTTAAAACTTCAAAAGCACAAATCATAAGAAAAATAGTGATAAAACTGATATATAAAAATTAAGGATTTTTGTTTAATGAAAAAACAGCACAAGGTTAATAAGTGACAGAATCTATATCCAATGAGATATTAATATCTAAACATCTAAGGAATGTTTACAAATTGGAATGTGATTGGGATTGTACTTTTTAAAAAATGGACAAAGCAAAGAATGCACAATTTGCAGAAGTCCAAAAGACAAGAAACACATGAAAAGATGCTTAAACTCTCTACCAGAGAAACTAAAATTAAAGTAAGATATCATTTCTATAACCATTAGATTGGCAAAATTATAAAAGTAGATAATGCCACCTGTTGATGAGGATGTGGAGCCATTACTACAGTTGCTACAGGAACCCTTATGTACTGCTGAGGGGTTTTTTAAAGTGTACAGATTTTGGATTCTCAACCACAAACAGAAAGCAATCAATGAACACTCATGAAATCATATGATGAATGTGAATTACTATGAAATAAGTATACTAGTCGGTTTAACTGGATTTTTTATATATTTTACACAATCAACTTCATAATATAATGGAATATTTTTGCTTATTGTTTAATCCTATTTTAATTAGCAAATTACAAATTTCCTAATGAAAAGAAAATTTTCCTAAAAACTAAGAGGAAAAAGACTTCTTGAAAATGTGGTATTTTACTGATCAAATTTCCTCTGAAATAATTCTAGTTACTCAGATAGTTTTCTGGGTGGTGGTGGTGGTGGTGGTGGTAATATTTGGGGACATACCATCATACGTTCCACTTTCTAACAATGCTCCACTCTCTTCCAGTGCTTTGAACTGTTCAACAGAAATAAAATTATAGTCCACTCCTGGTACTTCTCCATCCCTGGGGGCCCTTGTAGTGCCTAAGGAAAAAAAAAAAAAAAGAAAAAGAAAAAAAGTAGTTTGTAAAGTGCTTTTAAACTTACGAAATATTCAGAATAGAATATTCAGCCTATAGAGAATACATGGGAGAAACAGACTATTGAATATATATTTTTTCTTTTTTATTTTTTTAAATTTCAGCATATTATAGGGATACAAATGTTAAGGTTACATATATTGAATATATTGTACCTACTAGGATAAGGATCAGAAAACTTTAGGCAACTTAACACTATTAGGTGAAAATAGGATAATAAATAAATGTACTTTAATAAAATCTACAGATAACCATGAAATTAAAAACTACAAAAAGTCTAAAATAATTTTAGTGCCAAAAGAGGCTTAACCTTCCAAGACAGAATAGTTAATTCTTAAACCTCAATTATCATTACTTAACAGCAAGAAGGAGAGAGAAATCCGGCAATGACAGACTTCTTCCCCCTCCCCAATTTTATTAAGGTATAATTGATAAATAAAAATTGTTTATATTTATAGTGTACATGATGTTTTGATGTATATATATATATATATTGCGAAAGACAGACTTTATTTTTAAGTGGTTATTCTATATATTTTTTTCTTCCCTAGCATAAATGTAAACTAACATTCTACTTACTAAAGTCATGAAAGAACAAAAATAGAGAAACCATTTTTATAAGTTCTTTTAATAAACCTTATTTTAAAAACTTGGACAAACATTGATTATGAAGTTATTTTATACTAATGAATAAAAGGCTTAAGATGGGTATTCATGTATTGCTTCTTAGCCATTACCCTCTTCAAGTAATTTCAAAAAATTAAGCAGTAAGTAAACTGCTTTTAAAATTGACTACAGCAACAAATCACTAAATTTCTCTATATTAAGGAATTTATGCTAAAATAACATCTTTCTTTCAGCTCCAAGATTTAAATTCCATTTATGGCAGCAATGCTACATTTGATTGAATTTTATTAAATAAGAATCAATCACTTTTATGAACAGATATTAGAAATGTTATTATAAATACTACAGAATACAAAAAGAGGTCCAGAGTTTTTAGCTGGGGACACAGTCTGGGACATGTAGTAAGTCTTGAGCAAGGAGGCCTTCCCAACCCTGTTCCTTCACATTGGTCCCTATTCCGTAATGGCACTCCAACTAAGAAACCCAAAAGTCAGACATCTTGAGAGGCTTCCTCTACTCCACATCCAGTCACCAAACCCACCTCTTAAATATCTCAAGATACTTCTCTTCATCTCCACAATCATCTACTTCATATCATTATCTATGACCTGTATTTTTGGTCCCCCCAGGTCAACTCTCACCTCTCCCCATCATACCCTCTACTCCCACAACACAAACTGGGATTGATTTTTCTAAAGCCATATTTTTGCCAATGATTTTTCTAAAGCCATAGTCTGAGCAAACAAACAAACAAACAAAAATCTCTCTCTAAAGACCCACCAATGGATACTCATGATCCTTGATATAAAATCCTGACTCTATAACAACACATTTTATAATGCCCTATGCAATCTGGCCCCTATCTACCTCTCCAGCTTTTTTCTTGCCTCATCCCTTTCACATTCCAGGCTTTAGCATATAGATTTTTTCAATTCTCTTAATGTTCCTTTTACTCACTCACCTCCAAAGCTGCTGTTCTTTTCCTACAGGACTTCCTACTCCCTTTCTCACTCTTACTTCAGCTAACTCCTACTTATCTTTCAAGTCTTGGCTTATAAAGTTCTTTTAGAGAACATTCCCTGATTCCCTTCTAGGGTATGCCAATATGCAGAAACCCTATTTGATTCAGAGTACAGTCACAAGTCTTGGTACAGTGCAAGGATCATAGTAGGTACTCAAGACACTTAGCTGTCAAATAAATTAAGCAGAAATTTAAACAAATGCAATAAGCACACTACCTGGCAAAAAATATGCTCTTATTATTATTATAATAAATTAAATTATATATTATTGTAAATTATAAATTAATCCATGGCCAATTCAACTGCTCCTACTGTTTAAGTGCATTATATTCTGTGGAAAACATCCACAAAGATGATGATACTACATTAACAGTAATGATCTCAGAAAATAATGATTAAGCCAATATTCTACACAACAAAGATAACATTGAATTTCTCCCTCATTTTTTTATCTTTTTCTAAAAATGAGGATTTCTCTGTTTTACATCAAAGAAGAAAAAAAAATATGGAAAACATAACTTCCTTTCTTTGTTAGCATTATACATTTTCAATTTTTCGTGTTTCTCATATATTGACCAAAACTATGTTGTTAAATTCCCTATCAGCAGCTTTAAGCTCCCTATTAAATAAAACTTATTGATAGGAAATAAATTCAATGATTAAAATTATAATTTATAATTATTTGTGATGGAAAAAAACATGGCCATAATATTATGTACCTTCTCCCAGTAAGAGGTGGGGCCTGTTGCATCATCTCTTGAATCTGGACTAGACTTACGACTTGCTTTGATTAATTTAGTGTGAAGGATGTTTTGTTGTGTAAGTTTAGGATTCTAGACTTGCATCTTCACCCTTTAGGAATGCTCCCACCACCACATAAGGAAGTCTAGGCTAAACCACCAAATGATGAGAGAGCCCCAGACAAAAATAGCACCAAGACCCCAGACACATGAGTGAGACCATCTTAGCCCCTTCAACCCTAGTTGGGCTGCCAATAACCCACTCGTGGGCAGCCACATGAGTGTCCCCAGCTATACCCAGCCAACTCATGAAATCATGAGAAATAACATGATAATTATTTTAAGCCACTAAGTTTTAGGATGGTCTTTCACGCAGCAAAGGCTAATTGAGATATTATCCAGATAAACTCTACTATAAAATATTATGTCTATAAAAAACTCAGTTTAAGAGCAAATTATATTATAGATAATATAAAAAGAACACTGACCCAAGGAGTGGGAAAACTTTGTCTTAGTCTGAGATTTTTATTATTATTATTTATTTTTTGAGACAGAGTCTCACTCTGTTGCCTGGGGTAGAGTGCCATGGTGTCAGCCTACCTCCAACAGCAACCTCAAACTCCTGGTCTCAAGCGATCCTCCTGCCTCAGCCTCCCGAGTAGCTGGGACTACAGGCATGCGCCACCATGCCTGGCTAATTTTTTCTATATATTTTTAGTTGGCCAATTAATTTATTTCTATTTTTTAGTAGAAACGGGGTCTCACTCTTGCTCAGGCTGGTTTTGAGCTCCTGACCTTGAGTGATCCTCCCGCCTCGGCCTCCCAGAGAGCTAGGATTACAGGAATGAGCCACCAAACCCAGCCTGAGATTATTATCAATGGCACAATTTGGAACAAGCACTTAACCTCTCTGGGCTTGATTCTCTTCCCACAAAGTGGTGCTGAGTAAGATGTTGTCTATGATACTTTCCATTAATAAATATGAATGTTATGTGTGATTCCAACATATGTTTCTAAGACTTTAGAAAATAGCTTTAATGTTAATTCTCCTTATAAAGTATTATAAATTTTCACTTCTCTCCCAAACCATAAAACCCCATATACCTAAAAGGTTATCTACCTTCCCCTACCCCATTGCCTTTAGCATCCCTCAAAATTTATCTTTACATTCTCTTGATATTCTCTATATTTTATGTAAAGCTTCTATATCAACCTCTGTTATCACTACATTTCTCCTTTTTACCTAAAAAGTCCTCTAAAGAGTATCATTTACTCACAATTTCCAATTCCTCTCCTCTCACTGTCTGCATAGCCTATTCCAATCACATCATGGCCCCAATCAATCACTGAAACAATTTGCTATGTTCAGCAATAGTTTCCACTTTGCTTAATTCAATGGTCAAGTCTAAGTCCTCATATTATCTGACCTATGAACAACACTTGACATACCTGATTATTCCTCCTTTTTTGTTATTCTGAAATATACAGAAAAGTGCATAAAATGTATTTATTTAAAGTTAAACAACTAATTACAACCACACACACATCTAGGTAAAGAAATGGAACATTACTTGGACCCTAAAAGTCTTGCGTGCCTCTGATAATAAACTTCTAAACTGCCTCCATCTCCAAAGTAACTACTATCTTGACATTTGTGATGATGATTTCCTTTCATTGGCTATACCAACTAAGTAATGCATTTCTAAGCACATAGTTTAGTTTTGCCTGTTTTACAACTGCAAGTGAATAGAACCATACAATATGCATCCTCCTGTGTCCACACCAATAGTTGTTAACAAGTTTTAAAACTTGCCAATATGCTGAGTGTGCAAAGGTACCTCACTGTGCGTTTAATGTGTAACTATCTAATGAGATTAACATTATTTTTCATATATTTACTGGCCATATATTCAGCTTTCCTTTATTTATAAAAAATATCACAGCAAATAAAATACTTTGTCTTTAAAAAAGGAAAAGAAAAGGTAGCTCGACAAAAAGGGGTGTAAGGAAAGATTGAAGCTACTGAATAATGAAAATAGAGTAAATTTTGCAACATACCATTTTAAGACAGAGCATATGGTCAAACTAAGAAACGAAGTCAAATTGAGATGAATGGGCATCATGCATATTACCATGTTCTTCCTCAGCTGCAACATTCACCTGTGTCTGCTTGTTATTCACCCGTGTTTGCTTGTTCTGTTTACTTGCTACTTGATGACACAAAACATTAGCATGCTGAGTAAAATGGCATAAGAACCAATATAACCTCAGTTAAATTGACATCATTCTCCTACCTATTTGCCAATCACATATGAACTTATCTGCATTGCAGAAACAAATGTACCAGAACAGACAGTATCTTTTCTGATTTTTTTGCCTGTTTTATTAAAAATGGTGACAGAAGTTATTAATTTTAATGAAGTCAAATTTATCAATCCTTTCCTTTGTAGCTAATGGTTTTTGAGTCTAGTTGAAGAAATACTTTCCCAAGGCCATGGAGATATTCTATATTCTTTTTAAAAAGCATTACAGCTTTGCCTTTCACACCTAGGATT